ACTTCGAAAAAAGCAGCGTCATGTTCAAGTGGATTTTGCAACTCAAAAAAAACCACGCAAATCTAAAACTTCTTGAATTCAAGCATTTTCTGAGAAAACTTCCTTATCGATTGTTCACTTCACAAGGCCAGTTATTTCTCTCTAGAATGATGTACAAATGAGCGTTCTTGCTCATTTTTCCTCAGAGATACGAGCAAAAACGGGACGAAAAACATGAAATTTTGGCATGATCTTGCACCTAAGTGTGTGATATTTAAATTTCGCTTTCTGTGTCAAAACTACTCTATCTTCCTCACTCATGTTGTTACGACTGAATCGACTTTTAAATTCTCTATCCAACGATGCCAAAACGAATTATGTGGCTCGCATGGTTCTTCAGAAACTTCGAAAAAAGCAGCGCCATGTTCAAGTGGATTTTGCAACTCAAAAAAAAACCACGCCAATCTAAAACTTCTTGAATTCAAGCATTTTTTGAGAAAACTGCCAACAATTCCCCATCCATGGTTCACTTTCGAAAAGGTCATTTGTTTCTGTTTTGAATGATATACAAATAAGCGTTCTTGCTCATTTTGCTTCCGAGAAACATGCAAAACGGGACGGAAAACTTGAAATTTTGCAATAATCTTACGCCACCCTTGCACGAAACGACGATCATTTTTCTAATTTCATAGACAACAGAAGACTGTATTTTTTACACAATGTCTAAAACCGATGTTTCGCAACCAACTGGACATGCTTTTGACCGGAAATTCCTGCAGGCTCCGAAGCAGGGCACTTTTGAAAATGAACTCCCACCATCAGGAAAACAAAAACAAAAAAAAATGCGCAAAGTTTCGATATTAATTGGCGTCATGGTCCAAAGCGTAATATACAGGGGGTCCTAAGTGAGTATTTCCCAGTAGATTTTTGACGCAAAATATCCAAAATTCCTGCTGGTTGACGACAAAATAAATTTGCGCGCTTGCCAAGCTACTAGATGAAAACAAAGAAGAAACGTGCCAAGTTCTGAAATTGCT